CTATTCTATTCTATTCTATTCTATTCTATTCTATTCTATTCTATTCTTTCAGAAACAAATAAGAGATGCAGCCATTTCCCATGTTTTCCGGAGTTCTTGAAGAATTAGCTAGCTACTTTAACAGGCATTCCTGGATTTTAGTTATGAAAAACAGCCTTGGACACTTAAGGTAATGTTTAAACACACTCGCTTACACACTTCTTCTGTCTTTAACTTTAATCCATTTCTCTCCAGTTAACTCTGCTCCGTCCAGCTGGTTTCAATCATTTCAAGGAGAGTGCTATTTATTATGTGTTTGTCTGGGTCAGTGTCAAAAGCTACAATGCCTAACCATTTTTTGCGGTTCATAGGCACATCAGAAATCCAGATGGGCTTTAAAGAGCTCCGGAGAGTCAGAAAGCAAGAATCTATTTATTACTCGTTTGGAAATTGCCAAAGAAATTGCCAATTAAGGACAGAAACTGACAATATTTGGCAACTTTCACCAATTATGAGAAGAGGAAATATCAGTATTAAGAGGAGAGAAAAATCAGAATCATGTAACCAAGGTTAAACTACCTTTTAAAAAAAAATATTGAACAAAAATGTCTGGCATTAGTTATAAAACACGGGGCGCTCTGCTGACCTTCTCCTACACTCTTCCTGTTCTCTTCCCTGCTGCACCTTTTTGTTTGTTTAAAAGTCTGGGTAAAGTGAAAACCTTTTTCTCAGATGTCTGAGATACAGGTGTCTTTATGAGTCTGTCAAATTTTATTTGGGAAAGAGTAAAAGCAATCAGACTTCCCGAAGTAGATGAAAAATATGCACCAATTCAAACAAGGGACCAGGTTTTTCCTTCGTCTTCCCCACTGATAAATTTTTAGTTTGCAATTTCACTTGTGGAAGTTTAGAGGAATTCTAGGGGATGGAGATTATTTCAAGAACAAGTGGGAGGGGTCTCCCAATTTCTCCCTCCCTATGATACCATATCAAAATTCCCCCCGTGTTTCTACTGGAAGGAACCTTAGAGGTCTTCTAGTTTAATCCCCTGCTCAAGTAGGAGACCCTGTATCATTCTGGACAAAAGGCTATTCAATCTTGAGTGAAAGAGCAATGACTACTTTGTGAGGTAAGTAAACAATTTCTCCTTAATTCTAGGTTATTTGTCTCTTTGATAAGATCCTACCCGTTACTTCTTGTCCTCCCCATAGGTGCTTTGGAGAATACTTAGACCAGTGGCAGGATTCAATTTTTTTTTTACTGTCAGTTCTGTGGGTGTGGCTTGGTGGGCATGGTGTGACTTGGTTATGTGCGGCGTGGTGGGCATGGCAGGGGAAGGATACTGCAAAATCCCCATTCCCTCCCCACCTCACTAACCTGCTTTCCAGCTCCGTGCTCCTGTGCAGGGCAACAAAAGAAGACCCAGCTGATCAGCTGGGACTCGGGAGGCAGAGAATAGATGGGGGCGGGGCCAGTCAGAGGTGGCATTTACCTGTTCTCTGAACTACTCAAAATTTCTGCTACCAGTTCTCCAGAGCAGGTCA